CCCAGCTCTGTCTCACATCTTAAGTGTGGAATTACAGGCATGTGCGGCAGTAGAGAGCAAAGCTGGGGTGTGTGCACTTTCTGTAGGGGGGTGTGCACTTTCTGTAGGGGGTGTGCACTTTCTGTAGGTTAGCAAGCACTCTGCCAACTGAGCCACAAGTCAAGATTTCATCTAACGTTTGAAGACAATCTAGGCTTTTTCTATAATCTTCCTCAATATGCATTTTTAAATTTTGTTACATTCATATTTATTGTGTGTAGGCACATACATGCCACACTACATGTGTAGGGTCGGAGGACATTTTGCAGGAGTTAGATCTCTCCTTCTACCATACAGGACTTGGGATGGGACTTAGGTCGTCAGGCTTGACAGCAGGTGTCTTTTCCATGGCCGTCTCGTCAGTCTCTCTCAGTCTTCTTTAGCCTTTGCCCACTGCTTGATTCCAAAGCCCACATTTTTAGAACTTGCTGCAGCAGAACCTAATTCTTGGTATCTATATTCTTACTAGTTTTTATTATTGATCAGTTTTTCCACAGTTTTGCTGTGTAGCCCAGGCTGCCCTCAAGCTCTGGGTCTTCCTCAGTCTCCCCCAGGACGGGGATTAATGTGGTTTACTGCTCTACCTGCGTCACTTCTTCACAACTTTTCTGTTGCGGCTGCAAGAATGAGCTGGTCCTGGGCTAAGGGGTAGAGAGCAGTCATAGAGTGTTTGCCTAGCGTGCGTGGAGCCCTGGGTTCAAAACTCTAGCACCGGTAAAAAAACAAAAAAACAAAAAAAGCCACACCAAAATTCAGTACTTGGAGCAATACAGATTTACTGCATCAAAATCTTGTTATCTCACCGTTCTGTGGCTGATATGGGTTCTGTGGAACTCAGATCAGAGCCACGTTTCCCTGGGGGCTGTAGGAAGTTATCTGTGCTCTTGCTTACTAAGATTGGCACATTTGGTGCATTTCAATCCTTTGACTGTAGGTTACCTTGCTGGCTGGTGCCTGATTGCCCCTGCTTCTGATGCCACCTTAATTCTTTAACCCTTGGTTCAGGATAAAGGACCTCTTACTCTGAATAGCTCCGATTCCTGCCTGCCTCACCTGCTTCCCCCACCCCTCTTACATTGGCCCAGCAAAATTATCCGTTATAAAACCTCTAATTTAAGATCCTTCTCTCTAATTTCATCTGTCAAATTCTTTCTGCCACCTACTGCCTTAGGCACTAGGACATGAATGTCTTTGTGGGACCATTTTTCTGCCTACCACACCCCCCTAGGAGCCACTAACTGACTGTGTCTCTCCTTCCTGCTCCCCGCAGCACTTTCTTCCCCTCGGAATCAGAGTACCCTAGATCTGGCACAGGTTGCAATCTGGGTCTCTGCCACTTGCTTGCATGTGCTTGTCCTGACAGGAGATCTCTCCCCTCCTCTGTCCACTCCACTCATCCTGAAGGTCCCAGACCACAGTTGGCCATAGTCCCTGCACCAGAGGAATTGTGTTTTCAAGTCTCTTTCGACAGCAGACGCAGTTCTGCTTGTGAGCAGGTGAAGGAGGAGCCAGGTCTTCTGCACCCATGGAGTGCATGCTCATACACACTCATTCCCACTCCTACATGCTCACACCCGCTCATACATGCTCACACTCACTCATACCTGCTCACACCCACTCATACCCGCTCATACACGCTCACACCTACTCATACATGCTCACACCCGCTCACACCCACTCATACATGCTCATTCCCACTCATACCCACTCTCACCCGCTCCTACATGCTCATACCTGCTCCTACATGCTCATACCCGCTCATACATGCTCATACCAGCTCATACATGCTCACATCCATTGTGTAGGGCCAGCAAGCAGGCAAACTCATCAAACCCTGTAGGATGCAGAGGGGACCTTGCAAGAGGCTGATGCAGCTTTGTCTTCAATGTCCTTCACTCTCCGGCCTTGAGAAGGGCTCAAGGAACATGTCCACATGGATATGTCATTGTAGAAAACCTGCAAAGTTAAGATAACCTAGGAACCAGCAAGACGGCTTATTGGGTATAGAGGCTTCCAATTAGGCCTGATGACCTGAGTTTGACCCCTGGAATCCACATGGTAGACGGAGAGAGCCAACTCCTGCAAGCTGTTCTCTGTCGCATGTACCCATCATGGTAGATATTTGTAAGCGCGCGCGCACACACACACACACTAAAAATAAATCAACTTAACATGTCCTCATTTCACTCGGGGTCTCTGCCCTTTGCCCTCAGATTCCTCTTGAGCTGACATTTTCTGTCTCAAATGTCAGCTGGAGAACAATGGAGGAAATTACCCAACACTGACCTCTGGCCTCCACACGCTCACCTTTCAACACACTCAGGCACAAAATTTAACAACAATGCTACCAGCAGCCCATGTGTAACATTTATGCAACACTGTCAATAATGAGTTAGGAGAAACAAAATAACTTTTCGAAACAATCAATAAAATACAAATTTCCATGTTAGAGAGAAGGCTGAATTATCTTCCTAGTTTCTGTATGAAAAAAATCACCTCCTAAATTATAAATGGGTTATCCTATTTTAAAAATACGCATTTTAAAAAAAGATTTATTTTAGGGACTGGAGAGAAGTCTCAGTGGTTAAGAGCGCTGGTTGAAGCTGGGCAGTGGTGGTGCACACCTTTAATCCTAACACTTGGGAGGCAGAGGCACGTGAATCTTTGAGTTCAAGGACAGCCTGGTCTACAGAGTGAGTTCCAGGATATTCAGGGCTACACAGAGAAACCCCGTCTTGAAAAACCAAAGAAACAAAATGAAAAATGCTGGTTGATCTTCCTGGGTTCAATTTCCAGTATCCATATGGTGGTTCACAACCATATGTAACTCCAGTCCTAGAGGATCCAACACCCTCTTCTAGCCTTTCTGGGTACCAGGTATGCATGTGGAACACAGAGAAGTATGCAGGCAGAACACACATACCCAGAAGATAAAAACAGAAAACTTTTAATTTATTGTTGTTATTATTTTGTCTTCTTTCTTTCTTTCTTCCTTCCTTCCTTCCTTCCTTCCTTCCTTCTTTCTTTCTTTCTTTCTTTCTTTTCTCTCTCTCTCTCTCTCTCTCTTTTTCAAGATACGGTCTCACTGTGTAACTTGGGCTAACTTCAAACTCACTATGTAGACCAAACTGGCCTTAAGTTCATAGAAATCCACCTGTCTCTGCCTCCTGCATGTTCATATCAAAGGCCTGCACTAGCATGCCTGGCTGAGATTTATTTTAGTTTTAGTCATGTGTATGTGTGTATGTCTGTGGGTGGTTATGTAAACATGACTGTGAGTGAACTTACAGGCTGGAGGTAACAGATCCCCTGGAACTGAAGTTACAGTTGGTTGTCAGCCACCTGACAGACATGGGTGCTGGGAACTTACGTCAGGTCCTTTGGAGGAGTAGTACTCACTCTTAATCACCAAGCCATCTCTCAAACTAAAATTTATTTACATATATTTGTGTGCGTGCATGTGTGTGTGTGTGTGTGTGTGTGTGTGTGTGTGTGTGTGAGACAGAGAGGACATGAGCAGGCCAGTGTGGCATAACACAGTGTACTTGTGGAGGTCTGAGGATAACTTTTTGGGAGTCAGTTTCTTGCCTTCCTTTTGAGGCAGGATCTCTCTTATTTCTGTCACATATTGTGTCCAGACTCTGCCTTTCAGTTCACAGAAATGCTGGGATTTTATGAGCACCGTTGCATCTAGTTTTCCACACAATTCCTACTCTTGAATTTAGTCTGCCCCAACCACTAGGTGCTGGGATTAAAAGTGTAGTGGCTTCTACATGAAATAACTATGAACAAGGAGGTGGTTCAAGAGGGAAAAATACGCTGGGCAGTCACACTGCACGCTTTAATCCCAGCACTCGGGGGCAGAGACAGGCAGATCTCTGTGAGTTCAAGGCCAGCCTGGTCTACAATAGCTAGTTCCAGGACAGGTTCCAAAGCTACAGAGAAACCCTGTCTCGAAAAATCAAAAACAACAACAACAACAACGAAAACCAAAAAAACCCCAAAAACCAAAAGAGCTATAGCAGGAAAAACATTATAGGAATGTATCATGAAGTTGCCATGAATTTTTTTTTCGGGATTTAGTATTACAATATTTGTCAGTTTAAACCCCTTTTCTAGCCAGGTGTTGGGGCACAAACTGTTAATACTTGCACCTGGAAAGAGGAAGCAGTGGGGGAGACAGCAAGATCAAGTCCAACCAGGGCTGTACGGTTAGACTCTGTACGGTTAGACTCTGTCTTGAAACACACACACACACACACACACACACACACACACACACACACTCCTTTAAATTCGTTGTGATTTTTCTCATGTTTCTTCTCAGAGATCAAAGCCAGGGCCTTGTGCACGTTAAGCACAGAACTTGCCAACTGAGCATCAGCCCTGGCCTGGCCTTTTCTCATTGTTTTTATTTTCTTCCATTTCTCTTTGGTTTGTAATTGGGATTTTCTTTTCTAAAACATAGGACTCTATAAACACCTGTTCGCTGGGACCTTGAAGTCATTTGGGCACCACAGTAATATCTGAAGTTGCCTCACAAATGAAGGCAGGTAGGGATACCTGACGGACCTAGGTTGGGGCTCTAGGGGCTGAGCTGGGAGTGAGGATAGGGTTAGAGTTGGGAGCTTGGGTAGGAGTCAAGGACCTAAGGACCCTGGGGCAGTGACCTCTCGGGGAGAGACTTGCAAAGGAGCTGGAGCCAGCTGCTTTCTGGTGGTGGGTCTGTTTACTCATCCACCTGCCTGAAATGGAAACAAGGGAGTGGGCCTACCTCACTGAGAGGGCAGTTATGCCTGGGACCACCTGCCTGTCTATCCTGTGCACCACAACTTCTGCCTGCTGCTGCCTCTAACAGTGGAAGGGTCTAGACAGTCCCACGATACACAGGCTGGTACGACAGCATAGGGCCCTGGGCCATTCCCCACCCCAGCTGACAATCAGAGAAAGAGGAGCATATATTGGGTCACCCAGACTGGGTGGGAGTTCCTTTTATTTGAATTTGTTCCTGGGAAGCCAGGCGCTGCAGGTGGCCCTCAATGTGGAGCAGGATGGCATCCAGCATGTGAAGGACCCTGAGGACCAGGGTGCGGTCTGAGACAGCTGCCTGCCGTTTCCAGTGTTTGCAGGGACTGGGAGTCACCTGTGGGAGCTGAGGGTATAACAGCAGAGGAAGGATGGGAGGGGGCCAGGATGGACAGCAAAGCAGCTAGAGAGAAGAGACGCGGGGCCGTGCCAAAGAGGCTGGAGAGACAGGGCCGTGGGAGCTACCAGGGGCTGGGTGGTCTTGGAGCCCATGAGGCTGAATGTAGGATGGGAGTATTAAATGGGGCACATGAGTCAGTACTGGCCCTGAGGAACAGCTTGGGAGGGACTGGTTGTAGACGTGGGCTCCACTGAAACGCAAGGATAGGACATAGGGGTGAGGACAAGGTCAGGCAGGAGGGCCCACAAGGTGAGCTGTACTCACCTGATCCTTAGTGACCTGAGAACGCCACCGGTGCAGCATCATACGGCTGATGACCAGCATCATCGTGGTGGTGATCGTGATGCCAGCCACGGGGTAGACGCGGCTTCCTCCCAGGGCCATCCAGTAACCAGGGCAGCCCAGACTGCTTCTGCAGCCATCCAGGCCATTTGGCTGGCAGCCCCATGGCTGCAAGTCCAGCCCCACTTGGTACCAGAGGGGCCGTGACCAGGCATGGCTAGGGACAGGCATCACCAGCAGGGACAGCGATGGCACTAAGAACAGCGAGTACAGCATGGCTGTGGCTACTGCGAGAGGCCGGAACCCGGGTACCTTGGCAACCGGCAAACACCCCTCCCCCAAGAGGAGGCCCCGCTGAGGCAGCAGGTTCTAGCTAGGCCCATAGCCTTTCAAAATAGTTGGGCCGCATGATGGGACATGGGGGCTAATAGTGCAGGTCTAGGGCTGGGGCCCATCCTCCCAGGTGGACTAGGTAAGATGGGAACACCTCTTCCATGCTGGCCTCCAACTCCCCTATCATCCCCCCCCCTCCCCGCAATCTAAGCACCCGATGCCTATGTCTTTAAGGTTCAACGTCCTCTATTGGGCTAGCAACTGCCAGGCTGGTAAACCAGAGTGCAGGGGAGCTACCAGCAGCCTCCCATACCCAGTCCATAATGGGGCATGGTCTTCCAGCGATAGGGCCATGAGAAGGTCATCCCGAATGGCCCATCCGCCTCCTTATGAGCCGCGCCCTCCCCCAACCGCCCCTCCGGCGCTTCCTTAAAATCTTATCTACTTAAACAAAAAGGAGGAATAATGAAGGAGTTGCCCCCAACGCCAAGAGTGGCCATTGTCATGGCTCTGTTCACTATAAATTTTTAAAATTTGGATGATAATGGCCAGAATGCGGCAACACATTGTTCGGATCCACAGCGGCTCAAGGATTTGGTTAAATGGAAAGATGTGCTTTCTAATGAATGGAAAGGCCCGGATCCCATTCTATTGAGATCCAGGGGAGCTTATGCTCTCTCTCTCAAGACGCATTAAAGCTTTTCTGCAGAAGGATCCTAAGTGTGCCGCGTCATTCTTGCTGGCGAGACGGTAGCGCGGGACATACCTCTGGCTCCAAGTCTTCATCAAACAATATCTGTCAATTGTCCAAGCCTGGGGCCAGAATGCTGCTGGACAGAATAGTCAAGCTCTGCCTTCCTGGGCTGAAGTTTTGGCGGGAGCAGAGCTGGCTTGTAAACACTACAGTGCCAGGCATAGGCAAATGCCATGATAAAAATAGGGACAGGCAAGGGTGCCTGGGATATATGGAGGGCAGGGAGCCTTCGTGTGCTGTTGGGAACTTGCCTGGGGCCTAACACTGAGCTTGGCACCTGGAGCGCACCTGATGAATAGGGAAATTCATGTGTTCTGGGCAGGTGATGTGGGTACTACATTGTTCTCGACATTTCCATGTGTCTGCTTGGTTAACTCAGCAGGCCACTCAGGAGGCTGTGGCTTCCTCACCCATCAGGGGCCACTGCCCCATCCTTCTCCCCACAGGATCAGCGGCCTCACATGCTCAGTTGGTGTCTTATGCCAGAAATCAGCCAGTTCTTGGTCGATGGTGTCCAGCCAATCTCAAGGCTTGAGCTTTATGAGTGAACACTGACTTTTAAGCCCAGCAGTGGACCCTGAGAATGGTTCTGGTGTTTAGCTGAAGGCTCAGGGGTTCACTCCACATCCCCCAGAAGCACCAGCTCTGCCTCTTATCAGGTTATCCTTGGGAATAGCTAAGTCCTGAGCTACGATTTTGATTCCATTTATTTTTCCATTTAAAACTAAAACTAAAGGGCAGTCTATGAGAAATGGAAGAGAACCTTGAGTTTGTAGAATCCCAATCCAGTCTGAACCCCGGAGCTGCCCCACTCTGCATGCTCTCTGCCTGGCCCTGACCTTCCTGAGTCTCCCCCGCCCCACCCCAGATGTCTACTGTAGTGTTTCTAAGACGGCTTGGGAGTCTGAGTTGAGGACGACGCTCGAGCCACACCCTGACCACACCACAGCAGGACCTGAAGTTTGACAGACACATTTATTCCCAGAGCTGTAAATCCACATCAGCTCCCTCCCAGCACCCAGCCAAGGCCAGCCTGAATGCAATACCCTGCCCCAGGCCTGTAGCACTGAACTCAGGACATCCATGCGCTCTATGTGTATGGGTATGGACCGGAGTCCTGGGTGGCACCTGAAGTGACCCAGAGGCAGGAGCTTCATGAGGGTGAAACTGTCACAACCTCTAGAGGTAGGCAATCTCCAGCAGCAGAGTCAGAGTTTGGTGGCCTGTGCGGGCGGCAGAGGAAGTTTCAGTTAGTTTCCAAAGGACATATATGAAGCCCTGCTCCTAAGGCAGCACTCCTACACACACACACACACACACACACACACACACACACACACACACACACCAGGAGGGGAGAGCAATAGGTTCAGTGTAGCCAGAGCCCTAGGCAATGGCATGGACTCTCTGGAGTTGGGGTCAGGGTGGGGATAAGCAACAGATTAACAAAACTGCTCAGTGGGCCAGAGTCAGCTTACCAAAACAGGGCTCTTAGGGCCAGGCTTCTGGTGGTGGAGGGCAAAGGTCACAGCGTCATGGACAGAGGCAAAAAGATGCTGCTTAGTGATAGAGTCATCAAAGAAGTGTCCAGCCTCAAGCTGGGTGACCACAGGACCTGTGGGCAAGGAGGAGATCCTGATACTCAGTATCACAAGGAGACCCAGTCCCCAGGCACCCACAGGATTCTCTGACCCCTGCTATCCGAGGTTACTTAGAGCTAGAAACCCAGTCACGTCTATATGTCTCTGTGTGTGTCTGTATGTCTATGTAAAGTCTATGTGTCTGTCTGTGTGTTTGTGAATATGTCTGTGTGTGTCTATATCTATGTAAGTCTGTGTGTCTGTGTGTTTATGTATATGTCTGTGTGT